GTGTGTGTGTGTGTGTGTACCGTCAAATCAGATCTGACTGGTACAGGAGGAGATTGTTCCTTCTTCTCCAGAGGAACATCTGGTGGATTTGAACCGTGCACCTCTGGGATTGCAGTACACCTTCTTGCCACTAGGCCACCAGAGCTCGCCGGTTGAACAGATTTGAGGAGCGAGAGGGCCAGATCTTGGATGAGGAGGGGGGACAGTAATGCCTTTGATTACAGACATTGAGTTTAAGGTGCCTGTAGACACCAGATGGAATTGTCAGCAGGATAGTTGAAAGTAATATGGGTTCTGCTCAGTCAAGAAGTAAAGAATTGGGAATTGTTGACATATAAAAGTAGTTAAGCCTGTTGGAGATGAGACTGTATGTGAAAACAGAAGATACCCCAAAGTGGCTGTCAGAAGAGGCAGGCTCGCTGGAGGAGGAGTCAGCAAGGATAGTGGGTGGGAATCATGGAGAATTAGAAGACAAAGTAGGTTGGAGGGAAACTCACAGACTAAAGAGGTCTTAGTAGAGAGGAAAACTAGAATCTGAATTTGAGGCTGTTGGAACTCCCTCACATGCAACTTTTGCTTTGAACTCAAAGTTTCTGTGTTCTCTCAGACAGTGGAGGGAGTTCCTCCTACATGCTTGCCATTTGATGAGGAGTAAGGATTCGGGTGCCACTTAGTGAATTGAGCAAATCAGTGCTGGACGTTCTGCTGCTCATGTGTGTCATGTCTGTGCCTCAGGTGGTGGTTGTCCAGGCCATCAGTGCCCTGTGCCAGAAGTATCCTCGAAAGCATGCTGTCCTCATGAACTTCCTGTTCACCATGCTACGAGAAGAGGTAAGCAAGGCTTTGGGGCCTGCAGGGTCTTCTGGTGTAAGGAGCAGCCAGGCTCTATGTTCTTGTTGGTTGTATATCTAGATCAGTTTGTTAGTGGGGCAGAAGATTTCTGGTACCTGAGACTCTATATAAACTCCTTTGAGATGGATGGTGTGGGCATGTACCCACTGTGAGTAATAATTTTAGTAACTATATGACTCATCACCTTGGTTTTAAGATACCATAGATAATCCTAATTTTTTGCAGAGGTGGGAAAATACGTGTTCTTTACCGACATAGTCTAATGTTCAGGTTCTCTAGGACTGGTTTCTTATGAAACTGATGCTAACAATGAGACATTGTTAATGGTTCTGTTCCTGACACAGATTGTTATATTTTGTGCCTTTGAATTGGAATCAACACACCAACACATAGCCGACTCTAAAGTGGTTTTTTGGATGCTGTAAACTTCATGGGAGGAGGTTGCCTGTCTTTCTCCCATTGAGCAGCTGATGGAATCAAACCTCCTGCTGTTGGGATGGCAGCATAACTCTTGACCAGTAGGCTTCTTGAGCTCGCATAACACAAATTAATTCATCATTATATAGCCTTTCTCAAGTATTGCAACAACATTCCTTAATTGAGAGGAACAGAAGTAAAGTGTTCATGGAGTACATGTGATTCCCTCTCTGTCTCAGGGGGTTTGGTTCCTTGGATTGGAGCTTTAGGGGCATAGTTTCATGGGACATCTAGTTAATTGGCTTAATCCCAGTTAATTGGTTAATGTGTTTAGTGATTTTATTCTACATCTTAATTACATAGTGCCTGAGGTCTTAGAAATTTGCATACAGCCCTCCAAAGCACAGTAATTAGTTTCATTTGGTGCAACAGAGGAAGAACTTGAATCAGAAATAAGAAAAAGATATGGAGCTAATTACCTGTATAAACAGCTGCCTCCTTTGCCAAAGACCAAAAGAACTAGATGGTGCCTGGCTGCCACTACTAAACACTTTGATCAAAGACTTTGTTAAAGAATCCTGACCAAAAGTGGGAAAATTTAGAACAAAGTCTCACATTCTTATGTTTATCAGAATTTCTGAAGCTATAGAGGCTGGATGAACCCCTGAAATTATTGCCCTAAGATAATCCTAAACCTTCAACCAGAAATACCCTCCACAGGGCCAGATCTGACCCAGAGTTAAGTTTGCTTAGGTACTCCAAATTTTCAAAGTTTTGTTATTGTGTACTATCAAATTAATTCTGACTTAAAGCAACACTGTCAGACAGAGAACTGCCCTATATGACTTCCTAGGCTGTAATATTTGTGAGAGAGTGCACTCTGGTGACCTCCTGGTCAGGAGCTGTCCTGAAGGCATGTCGTTCAAATCCACCAGTTGCTCTTCCGGAGTAGGAGGTGCAGTCTCCTCTCTTGCTTGTTTACTGCCTCTGAAAACCTGCTGCTTTTAAATAGTTGTTTCTGACTCTGATACACAATATGAGTCTTTATGAGATTAGTCTTTTCTCCCAGGCAGCAACTGGTGGGTTCAAACTACCAACCTTTTTGTTAGCAGGTGTGTGCTTAACCAGGGCTCCTTTTAAATTGTGCTGTACTTATGTCCCATCAAGTCAGTTATGATTCTTAGAGACCCTATAAGCAACAACCCTGAACCTTGCCCTGTTCTGTGTCATTCTCACTGTCTCTGACACACTTGAACTCATTATATCTTTAAAACCAGGGTATTTCATGTTGTTGGTGGCTTTTTTTAAAAAAACAAACACCTGTGATAGATCATCAGTTTTCTTTGAGAAAATGCATCTGGTCTGGCAAGTTTAGTAGGACTCCCCTCTTTCAGTGGAGCTCTGACTCTCCATTGCCTTAAGGGTCCAATCCAGCTGGTATCATACAGGCAGTAAGTGGGTTACATGCCTGATGCCTATGAACATATGAATTGCCACTTCTGTCATTAAAGTCTACAGACAACAGTAGATTTAAACTGGGATCTTCTGACTCCACTGGCCCAGTCTTTCTTTGATCTTTTCTCAAAACTGGAAAAGAAAGTAGAATCCAAAATGTTCCAGACAAGTGCCTCTTGGAACTGGAAGAGCCACAGAGAGCATTCAGTCCAAACCTTTTAATACAGAAAGTTAGTAGAGGTCTAGAAACATTAACTGATTTGTTCAGGGTATCCTTATGAATCAGAAACAAAGGTGGGACAAGGAGCCAGTTCTCCTGCTTCCAGGCTCTGTGTATGGATTGGCCCTATTAGCTCATTTCTGGAATGAGCTGCTCCCTTGCTCAGCTTTACTCTTTCCTGCTGTAGGGTGGTTTTGAGTATAAGCGTGCCATCGTGGACTGCATCATCAGCATCATCGAGGAGAACTCAGAGAGCAAGGAGACAGGGCTCTCCCACCTGTGCGAGTTCATTGAAGACTGCGAGTTCACTGTGCTGGCCACCCGCATCCTGCATCTCTTAGGCCAGGAGGGACCCAAGACCAACAACCCCTCCAAGTACATCCGCTTCATCTACAACCGAGTGGTTTTGGAGCATGAGGAGGTCCGGGCAGGTGAGTCTGAGTCAGGACTGGACCTGGACTCTCTTATTTTTTAGTTTATGTCCCACGGAAGGTACCTGGTCTGAGTGGAGGCATAGCGCCTTGGGTTTTTAATAATAATGTCCAGTTAACCTTAGATCTCATCTAGTCATGAACCTTCTCTTTCTACTATATCTTGATTTTTTCACTGTTATGCTTGTGTTTAGCAGTTTTATTGAAATATAATTCACATACCATAAAATTCTACCTTTTTAAAGTGTACAACTTATTGTGTAACCGTTATATTTTCAGTCTTAGTTTCCATTTACTTTTATACCCCCACTGGACTGATTTTCTTGCTCTGGCAATCTGTGTTCAGCAAGTAATAGGTAATTTTTTCCTTGATACCAGTCTAAGGCTGGAGAAGGACATAGCACTTGAAAAGTAAAAGGTAGGGAGCTCTCGTGGCCTAATGGCAAGAAGCTGCACTGCAATCCCAGAGATACGTGGTTTGAATCCACCAGATGGCTCTGCTAGAGAAGGATGGGCAATCTCCTCCTGTACCAGTCAGATCTGATTTGATGGTACACACACAAAAAATAGTAAGATTTAAAATGTTTTTAAAAAAAAGTAAAGTGTTTTTTTCTCATTGAAGAGAAATATCTCTCAGAGATTAGTGGACACAGTGACTGAAACAATGGGTTTCGTTAAGCCCAGCAGATGTTGGGAAGATGATGCAGAATTGAGCAGGGGTTTGACCTACTGTACATGAGTCAGAACTGTCCCAGCACTACTTGACAAGGTTTCACTTTTGACTGTGGCCACTAGATGCAGAAACTGAGAACCTTGATATTTTTGCCAGTTTGACCTTAACTGTAATTATTGCTGAAAAGAGTTCTAAAAAACCTGTAACAGGAACTATTGTCCTTTAGATCCCTGCTGCATGGTACAGATTTGTTGTTGTTATGTGCCATCGAGTTGGAACCCACTCAGCTGACCCTCCCGTAGGTTTTCACACGGCAAGAGATTGTCCATCTTTCTTCTGTGGAGTGCTTTGTAGACTGGAACCATGTGCCTTGGTTTGCCAGCACAACTCCTTAACTACTATTCTACCAGTGCTTCCTTAATACAGATGAGGAAGTTAATTTAGGAAACACCAAAAAAGATTTGGGCCTGGTGGTTTGCATCTGCTTTCTGTGGGTCTCCCACTGCTGGCCCACTGAGAAGCAGCAAAGTGGGAATGGTATGGTGTCAGGCGTGTGAACTGAATCGTATTTGCCTGTCACACACAGGTGCAGTTAGTGCGCTGGCCAAGTTTGGGGCCCAGAATGAAGAGATGTTACCCAGCATCTTGGTGCTGCTGAAGAGGTAGGTCTCAGAGGGAGGGCCTGGTGAAGGGTGGTGTTGACACAAGCCCAACAGCTTTCTTTTTTTCCCCCAAAGCTGAAAAAGGAGAGACTGTTGATTGTGGAAATAAAATCCCATCGCCCAGAGATGAGCATAGCTAGCCAGCCTGACCTCCTTTTTTTTTTTTTTGGTTAAAGTTTTGTATATAATTCAGGTGCCATTTAATTCACACATTTAAAACATATAATTTGGTGATTTTCAATGTAGTCACAGAATCTAAGTTTACCACAATCTAAGGTTAGAACATGTTTATCTCCTGAATAGAGACTATGTATCCATCATTAGTCACTCCCCACCCCCAACTTTTCTGCCACCACCTCCCCCAGCAACCTTTAGTTTATGTTTGTTTCCCATCGATTTGCCCTTTCTAGACATTTCACATAAATGGAATCATGAAATTTATGGCCTTTTGTGACTGGCTTCTTCTTAGAATCATGTTTTCAAAGTTCATACGTGTTCTAGCACATACCACTGCTTCATTTCTTTTCCTGGCAAATAGTATTCCATTGTATAAATACATCACAATCGCATATGAATCATTTGAGTTTCTCCTTTTTGGTGATAATGAATAATGTTATTGTGACCCTTGTACAAGCTTTTGCGTGAACATATATTTTCCTTGGGTATATCCCTAGGAGTAGGATTACTGAGTGAAACTGAATTTTTTTTTTTAAGCCAAGAAGCTTTTATTGGGGCCCTCAGACAGGTTCACAGCCTCAGGTCTTAGAGAGGCGGAACAGGTCAGGAAACAGGGAAGTTCACTGAGACTGAATTCTTGATGTCATGTGTTGTTGGAAGCAGGGATTCCCCCTTTTATTGGGCAGGATGTAGGGAGAGAACACTGAGAAAGGAAACAGCAGTGAATGTGGCCCTTCTTGCTTTGAGACTTGTGGGCCACACAGTGCATGTTGATGCCCTCAGTCAAGAGATGCCTGGATACCACATCTGAAGACTGATTTCTGAGAGCTCCAAGAGACTCTCCCTCATGATGAAGCCTTGCAGGGTTCCTCCTGCCACCCCTTCTGGGCACCAGTCAGGATCACCGTGCATTTTGGCTGCAGGTGTGTGATGGATGATGACAATGAAGTAAGGGACCGAGCCACTTTCTATCTCAACGTCCTGGAGCAAAAGCAGAAGGCCCTCAATGCAGGCTATATCCTAAATGGTGAGTCTTCCCTTGCCCGCCTTTGGCCTAGCCATGCAGGAATCTGGCTCTCCTCATTACTCCAGAACAGGTGCCCTCTTCCTGGGCAGAGATTTAAGGCAAGATGCCCCCAGGTGGATGCCGATGGTGACCTCCTGGTATTGAAATAACTTCACAAGACCCAAGGATGTGCAGATCATAGTAGTCTGGGTGAAAACAGCCCAATAGGTTGAAACACTATTCATTAATAGAAACTTCTGCTTCACGTTATTTTACACTTTCATATCTCAGTTTACTTACCATATGTATCATTTTTAAGAAGGTGTTTCAAAGAGTTAAGCAATTTGTTCTGGTTCAAACAAACTAGGATTTGTAATCTGACAAGCTGAGAGCCCCATAGAGGGTTCTTAGAATGCTGTCATATCCTCAAGCCACTGACCGCTCTCCTGCTGGCATGTAGGTCTGACTGTCTCCATCCCTGGCCTGGAGAGGGCTCTGCAGCAGTACACTCTAGAACCGTCGGAAAAGCCTTTCGATCTCAAGTCTGTACCCCTGGCTACCATGCCTATTGCAGAGCAGAGAACAGGTGATATTTGTGTTCCTTCCAGGAACCTTTCACCCTGCCTCCCCTGGATACCATGTACTGGCTATGAAGCCTCTAGCATTCTCCTGTTGGGTGGGCCTGTGCTGGGAGGGGACCATCTCTTCTGCTCTGGCTCCTGTAGATGGAGATCCACATGCAAACACATACCCTTAGTCCTTCTCACGTGATCTCTTAAGGGTTGAAAGTTATAATCCCTGGATGGGCTGTTACTGGATTGTAGACTTTAGTATTTTTGTCCTGCAGAAAGTACCCCCATTGCAGTGGCCAAGCAGCCTGAGAAAGTGGCAGCCACCCGACAGGAGATTTTCCAAGGTGAGTAGCAATTCTGGGTGGAGCTTTAGGGCCCTGGGCTCTGTCTCCTCAATTTTAGAACAGTTGCTTCCCTTGAGAGAGTAAGAGTGAGAACTGTCAATTCCTGGGCCTCTTCTGAATGCTGGGCACTGGACACTCTTAGACATTTGAGTTAAAGGTAGATGTTTTAAGCCCATGTGATGTCAGGAATTGGAGGGTCAGAGAATGTGCATGGCCCAAGGTCTCAAAGCTAGAAAGTGTTGGGGCTGAGGTTAAGATCTAGAGGAAACCAGCTCAGCCTTAATTCTGGCCCTCTCTAAAGTGCAGGCCCATGTGGGCTGTCTGACTCTACACACATGGTTCTAAAGAAGCTGCTAGTTTCAGTTGGATTCCAGATGTGTGTAGTCTAGGCCAGTTTCTGTTTAGATATCCTCCCTCTAGTCCTGCATCTTTTAAAGGCGAGAGATTGTGTGTTTGATTGCCAGAGCATAGGCATTTGTTGTGAGAAGTTTTATACACTTTCACAAGTTAGTCTGTAATTGAAAAACGGAGCGAGCACATGGCTGTGTGTTTCAGAACAATTGGCAGCAATCCCCGAGTTCCGTGCACTGGGGCCCCTCTTCAAGTCCTCACCTGAGCCTGTGGCCCTCACCGAGTCAGAGACAGAATATGTCATTCACTGCACCAAACACACCTTCACTGACCACATGGTCTTTCAGGTGAGCAGGGAAGGATAAGGTCCTATTAGGACTTGGCCCTTAGAGTGGTCCCAGGTCTGACGTGTCCTGTAAAGTCATGACACCCAACCCCCCTGCCCCAGCTGGCTGGGAGCCCTATCAACAGACAGCATCTCTTACCAAGTGGTATGTCGCTGTACCACTTGACCCAAGACCTCTCTTGCTTATGAGTTTAAGCTTAGAGACTCGGAAGCTATAGTGAGATGACTGGAATGGAGCCAGCTTGGCCTGTGGGGTAAGAGATGGGTCCTTCTAGATCTTTCCTGCAGCAAGACTTGGGTTTACAGACATATCTAAACTCCCTGTCTTCTCCCTGGTTCAGTTTGATTGCACAAACACACTCAACGACCAGACTTTGGAGAACGTAACAGTGCAGATGGAGCCCACTGAGGCCTATGAGGTACTCTGTTATGTCCCTGCCCGGAGCCTCCCCTACAACCAGCCTGGGACCTGCTACACGCTGGTGGCACTGCCCAAGGAAGACCCCACAGCTGGTGAGTCCCCCCTAAATACTATCCTGTAATCAGGGTGGGGTTGGCAGATTGGACATTAGTTCTTTATCTTGCTTTCTGAATATTTCTCATATATTGTCTCACATTTAATCCTCATAACAAACTTAGGAGGCTACGTCCTGCTGTCCCTATTTGTGCTTGAGGAAGTGGGGCTTAGATTAAGAGACTTGTTTAAGTTGTAGTGGCTGGTACGAGGTGGAACCTAGGTCAAAGCATTTTGCAGCAGTACCAGAGTTAGAAACATTACTGTTTTTAGATGCCATCAAGTCAAGTATAACTCATAGGGATCCTGTGAACAGCCAGCCTGAACCCTGCCCTATCCTGTGCTATCCTCATCATCTCTGAAACATTCAAGCCCATTGCTGAAGTCACCTTGTCAATCCATCTCATTAGGGATCTTCCTCTCCTTCACTGAACCTTCATCTTTCCAAGCATGATACCCTCTCCAATGAAGAGCCTCACCTAGCTACAAGGCCAAAGTATTAGGGCGTCTCTGTAAGTCCTCATCTGAGCATGTGGGCCTCTCCTGAGGAGACGGCTTAGCCCTACGACTTAACTCTCCTGTCATTGGTGCCCTCTGTTAAGAGTTGTGGGGTTGGTTGACTTGTTGCTGCTATTAATACTGTAGTAGAAGCGGGAGAGAAGGCAGTCTCTGTCCCCTCAGCTTTGGAGTTATTGGTCCTTATGAGGATTTAAAATAAATTGTCATTTATTGGGTCTGAGTGCCAGGCACTGCGACTTCTTAAGACACTGTCACAGTTGAGGTGGAGCCGAGCCACAGAATTTAGACAAGTCACCTGCCCTAATTACAAGTTCATCTCTGGATATATCATCTCATATCAGTTCATCTGGAGATATCCTGACCATTCAGCCTCTCTTCCCACAGTGGCCTGCACGTTCAGCTGCATGATGAAGTTCACTGTCAAAGACTGCGACCCAACCACTGGGGAGACTGACGAGGAAGGCTATGAAGATGAGTATGTGGTAAGGAGCTAGGTCACGAGGCTTGGCTTTGTGATGGAGACTGAAGAGCAGCTCTCCAGGAACGAGCACCCAGACTTGATTTCTTTTCTTGACATTACAGAAATATTTTGAGAGAGAGAGAGAGAGAGAGTGTGTGTGTGTGTGTGTGTGTGTACTTCTAAAATTATGAGTTTGTGTGTTTTTAAAAAAATCAAACGAGTACAAAACCAAAAATAGAAACAAACAAATACACGAAGAAGAATAGCATAATTGAGGTTATTATTGTACATTATAGGTCTTTTTTCCACTTAATAATGTATTTTTCATGTCATTACAAACACATAATAGTAGTTTTAAAATGCTGTATCATAATTCACTTGACCATTCATTCCTTCACTGTTGAATTTAGAGTTCCAAATTTTCTGTTTTGTTCATCTACCTTAAATTTAAACATGAAATTTTTTAAACAATGCAAATTTTTTATATGTATTTCATAGTATTTCTTTAGGATAGATTCCTAAGAGAGTAACTGGGTCAAAGGTTATGCATGATTTTAAGAATTTTGGTTTGTTGTCAAATTGCTTCCTGGATAAAGTGTACCTGTTTTTGTCTGTGAGGAAGTCCTTCTGTACACGGAAATAGTTCTTTCATTTTCACCTCTACACTTGGATAGAACTGAGGTCAGGATCATTTTTGGTTCTGACTGTAGGACAGCAATTCCATGCCACTGGAGTTCAGACCATATGTCTGTCCATGGCCAGGGGTTTTTTAGAGTTTATGACTAGAGGGACAATCACTGTAGAATATAGCTGACATCCACCAGTGTGTCTGTCATTCTAGAGCTATGGGTGAGAATGGGCCTTGCCTATGTCAGAAATGAGACAGAGATGATCCTCGACCCCAGTAACTGCCTAGGGCTAAATGGACTTCAGAGAGCTGATTCCAAAGCGCTCCTTTTACTGTGGAGCTGAGTCTTAGATTCACCTGAAGACCCACAAGAGTAGGAGCTTAGTGAAGATCTGTTGGGTGAACAATCAGGGAAACTTTATGTAGATTTAGTCAAGGTGGGGACATGTATAATGTGTCAGGTTCCGGGAGGGGACAAGCTGAGGTGGGCATTGGGGTTCCAGTGAATGTCAGGCTGGAGGACACAGCTGAGAAAGGAGGAATGATCTACCGAGTCAGAAATGGCTGCTGAGTTTTGAGATGCTTGTAGTCTCTAGGGAGTGACCAGTATAAGAGGTAGGCCTTGAAGACTCTTCTATGCATTTCTCTAGACAAGGGATCCTTGGGGCACTGACTCCAGGCAAGCTTCAGAAGGACTGTCATCTCAACTGACACCCTAGAATGAGAAGAATTTTGGTAGATTGTTACTTAGACTCAGAGTTATAGGGACATGGGCTCTATTTACATTGAGAATGGGTGTCCATTTAGGTTGCTGTGTGTCCCTAGAACCTGACATGGTCTACCACTTAACAAGCAAGGGCTGTTGCATGTTGGAACAGGAGTTGAGCGATTGAGTTCAGAGTAGAGGCTGAGATGGCAAAAGCAGGGAGTCCCTCCTACAGAAATGTGGGCCTGACTTCCATTTCTCTCTTCAGCTTGAAGATCTGGAAATCACTGTAGCTGATCACATCCAAAAGGTCATGAAAATGAACTTTGAAGCAGCCTGGGATGAGGTGGGTGATGAATTTGAGAAGGAGGAAACTTTCACTTTGTCAACCATCAAGACACTTGAAGGTAAGGCCTGAGGACAGCATTCTGAACTGTTTATATTTCAAAACCCTTGGCTGTAGTGGAAGTTCTCCTTTCTCATCTCTAACACCCTTAATGATCCACAGCTATGTCTCAAGCACATACTTCAGGTGCTACTTGATTGAAAGCCCCTCAGTACAGGGTTAGGGATAAGGAAGGAGTGATGACACAAAGTGAGAAGACATGTTTATGATGCTGAGATTTCTCTCTACAGAGGCTGTGGGCAATATTGTGAAATTCTTGGGGATGCACCCATGTGAGAGGTCAGAAAAAGTGCCAGATAACAAGAACACCCACACATTGCTCCTCGCTGGTAAGCACCATTCTTGGGGTGAGGAGGGTGGGAAGGGCCTGGGCAGTTACAGCCTGGGTGCTCCTCGTCCGGCACCTCCCTCTGGCAGCACAGTGATTCAGAATTCACCGAGCTTAAAACAAGCAAGTGTGAGAAAACTGCTATGAAACGTCTTCCTCCCCTTCTTTCTGCTAGCCAGCCAGTTTCCCTCTCAGCAGGTACCCAGGTGTTACTGGGCAGACAATGCAGGTACATCCTTCCTATTATTTTATGAATTCCTTTTTTGAAAAACACAAGTGTTTATGTACAAAATTGAATATACATCGTTTTGTACTTTGCTTTTCACTTGAGTGGACATCTTCCCTCGGATACATAAAGCTTTCTCATTGTTCTTTATAACTTTTATTGTATGGATTGGCTGTTTATTGAATTAGTCTGCTACTGAACACTTAGACTGTTTCCAGTGTGTTATTATAAATAATGCTGTATAGTAAATACCCATATACACACATACATGTATGCACACTCAAGCTACCCATATATATTTTATTTTAAAGGTCTAAAAATAATATTTCTAAGTCAAAGTGATTTGCATTTCTCATTTGGATAAATAGTTCTAAATTGCTTTTTATAGAAATTTATAGAACTTATAGAAAATTTCTTGCCCCTGACACTCTTGTGGGCCCCTGACACTTTGTCAGCCTGGGTGGGAAATGGCATCTCAGTGTAGTGGTTATTTTTTAAGAAAAGGAACTAATTAACTGTTTAACTGTTGCCATTTCAACAGGGTTTCACAGGTAGCAATGAAGACTAGTTTTAATTTATATTTCTTGTGTTTTGAATGAAGTATCTTATAAATGTGGAAGAGCCATTTGTATTCCGTCTTTGGTAAATTGTTTTGTTTTCCCTTTGGAACATATTTAATTAGAAAGTTACAAAACATCGTGTTTTACTCACACAAATTCATATAAAAAAATATAATGGAATGCAAAGCAATAATGTTTACATACATATCTTTAATGTCTCAATACTACCTTTCTAACTTAAACTAGAAACCACTTTTCCATGGTTTAAGCCTTAGGACCATTGTTTTGGTCCTGAATGTGAGAGAAGAGTAGAGAGGCCAGTGCTAGGGGGTTTTGTATTTGAGTAATTCCAAATAGCTTGTTCCCCAAACTTTGATTTTAGCCAACCTAAGGGAAAGGTGATGAGAGATGGAGAGAGTGCTTTGGAAATAAGACCTGTATCTCCCAGGGGTAAATTGTTTTTAATTCATAAAATTTGCCCAATTTTCTGGATGGGTTGATCTGTTCAAATAGAAATGGGACTTTTAAAACTCATTTTATTATAGGAATTTTTAAACACACACAAATTATATATTTAATCCCATGTATTCATTTTCCAGCTTTAACAACTATTATTTTCCCCTTCTCGAGGTAAAGCAAATCTCAGAAAATATATCATTTTATATGTAAGTCCAGCTATAATTGTGATTATGTTAAGAGATAATGATCCAGGGAACTCTGGTGGCCTAGTGGCTAGAAGCTGCATTGCTATCCCAGAGACTCGTGGTTTAAATCCACCAGATGGTTGACTGGGGAAGGAGGGACAGTCTCCTCCCGTACCAGTCAGATCTGATTTGACGGTACACACATACAAAATAATAAAAGATAGAAAACTTAAAAAAAAAGAGATAATGATCCTTTGTCTAAAAAAAGGAGTACAGCTGTCAAACCTACAAGAGTTAAAAAGGGATGAACTACACCTCTCTCTGCAGTGTTTATAAACAGAGCTGGGAGGATGCTGTGCTTCATTGACCTGCTCCCAACTGACAGGCCCCACCATCTGCTTCTGGCCACAATGAGTCACCCCAGTCCCCTGGGTCTTGCAGACACCTGTTCTGTGGTTCTCTCATGGGCCTGTTCCCTTCATCTGCTAACGTGTGAGAGTCTCTGTGACCTCAGACACAAGTCTTTTACTTCAGTACTGCATGTGAGTCTTGGCAGAGACCTGAAATAGTATTATAATTCTACTTTGAAGTTACAGATACTTGATGCTCAGAGGTATGAAGTGTCTTGCTCAAAGCCTCACTCATCGATTTTAGCCCACCTTTTCTTGCTGCAAGCCCACCTATTTCAGTTGGTCATTTACTGCAAAATGCTACTCCAGCCTTATTTCCATAACCTCCTTTGTTACAAACCTGCACTTCTCTTGTTCCTTCTAGGTGTATTTCGGGGTGGTCATGACATCCTGGTACGTTCTCGGCTGCTGCTTTTGGATACAGTGACAATGCAAGTGACAGCCAGAAGCTCTGAAGAGCTGCCAGTAGACATCATCTTGGCATCTGTGGGCTAGGCCTATAGAATCCCTATTCCTACCCCTTTCCCCCAACACTACACAGAAGGTATGCCTTCCTTATGAACCCAGTGGAAATCCCATCTTCAGCCTCTGTATTAAAAATAATTAGGAAGCTTTGAGGATTTTTTTTTTATTTCCTCCCTTCCCCCAAAATTGTCAGGGAGTAATTTATTTTTGTAATAGGAGATGACTTGTTCTAGACTTGCTGCCCTGCCTACAGAGGGGGAGGATATTGCAATTGATATGTTTTAAATGAATAAAATGTTTGCACCTCTTGAACATCTTATCCCTATAAATAAATCAGCATGTGTTTATTGAATGGCTGCTGCTACTTGTACAGATGCATTCTTAGGGGTTCACGTTCCTCTCTGTAGTTTCCCTACCTTCAGCTCAAACTCACTGCAGCAAGTTTTCTGAGGTTTTAAACAGCACATGTAAAAGATACTTTTTGGTTATTGTACTTGGTGTGAGGTAGATCCTGTCCCACACATCGTCACCACCACAAGTGTAGGGACTGGACAGCATAGTAAAAGAACAAACAGGCATTGAGTGCAGACTCTTAATCCTGGACTGTCATCACCACTCACCTTTTATAGAATACAAAAGGAGGCGTTAACAACTGAGTGTTGTCAAGCCTCAGGTCAGAGGTAAATTTGTATGGAGAGAGTGATAGAACATTCTTTCTTTGACTCTTATTTGAAGAAATCCAGTATTGAGGTCTCAAAGAGCAGGCTCAGAGAATTGGGTTTTTATATGCAAACCAGATGTGCTTTGCAGTTTCAGTATTTGTGGGTGGGAGGGGACATGAGAGGATCTTGGACACTCTCATTCTGGTGCCCACGAGAGTTAGAGGTTCATTTGTGTGATTAATGTTTTCCTGACTGCTTCAGCTTCTGCTCTCCAAAAAGGACTGTGAGGCAGAGAAAACAGCTTAACTGGTTTTACTGCTACAATGACCTGGTACCCTAGAGCTCTGGTCCCCCCATACAGTCAAAGGAATGCACCTAGGAGACTGGGGGTGCACACAGTGCTTGAGGACCCACCTTTACCTGGTAACTGTGTTCCCACTAGGGAGGGATGGGTTAACTGGTTTCACCACTACAATGACCTGGTACCCTAGAGCTCTAGTTCCCCCATACAGTCAAGGGAACGTACCTGAGAGGCTGGGGGTGCACCCAGTGCTTGAGGACTGATCTCCACCTGGTTACTGTGTTCCCACTAAGGAGGGAATGGGCTGGCCCCACCTGAGAACAAAGGAACATGGAGAGCAGTGGAGCTTGAGACTCTTGAGGCCAACCGTAGTCTCCCTGGAACTTCCTTAAGACTAAGATCACCAGGGTTCTCCTGCTGTGATTTAGGGGAAGCCAATACTAAATATTTGTAATAAACTGAAAGCTAGTTCAGGAATGGGGGTCTTCAGTCGAGAACTGCTGGCCCCGTTTTTCATGCTCTCTGTTCACTCTCATTCCTGGCTATCTGTCTCATTAATAATTATAAAATTACTTTACCCTCGGTCTGCAACATTCTGGTGCCCGAACCTGGGACAAGGTGGTGGTTTCTATTTGGGTAAGGTGGTGGTCTCGCTTTCTCTTTTTTGAGCAGACACCAGGAACCAAAAAGGAATTCGCTCAGGGTAAGTGAAACTTTTTGGAAAATTAAAGGCAGGGTCATGAGAAAATCCTCACTAAAAGTTTCATGAGGTTTCTCATACCCCTTGACAAAGACAAGGGAAGAATTAGAAAAAATTCAGAGTAGAATTGATAAAAAGGAGTCATGTGGAACAGCCCATCCTCTGAAGCTCAATACATTACATTAATTAAAGAATTACTTAAGAGCTCAGGGGTAAAGGTAAGATAAAGGTCATTTTTGCTGTTGTTTCAGTATGTGCAGAAACACTGTCACTGATTTAAACCGGTAAATAAAGTGCAGTTAAATTTAAAAACTTGGCAAAATGTTGTGAAAGCTTTATGAAAAGCACATCAAAAAGAGAACAGACTCCTATTAATTTTTGGTCAGTAAGGGCTTTGAAAAGAATAGTAAAAAAGTCTGTGCAGGATTGTTCTAATAATAAAAAAAATTTGCAAAGAAAAATGGCTAAATCTTTGCACGAATCTGAATTAAATGATAAGGAGGTTAACGCTGAAGGTGAGAAACAGCCTTTGTCACCTTTCGAAAGAGTTTATCAAAAGGGAGATGTGATTCCTGCTTCGGTTTGGTTACTAAGTGATTTGATCACTTCGCTTTAAAACTATTACAGTCTGAGGAGAAGATGTCTGAAAAGTTAGAAGAAAAAACCTCTTCAGAAGAGATGGATAGTGATTCTGATACAATGGAGGATGAATTTCCTATACCGCCAGCTTCGGAAAAATTGAGCAATATAATCCAGGATGATAGTCCTTATGAGAAATTAAGTAAACAAGTTTTAGAACTTGCTAATAGACAAAATGGGCTCTCGAAATGAGATATATTGTTGTAATGTGCCGTCGAGTTGCTTGTGACTTATAGCAACCCTGTGTACAACAGCCCTAAACGCTGCCCTATCCTATGGCAATCGCACTGCCTCTGACACACCCATCCAGATTACCCCAGTCACTGAATCCACTTCATAGAGGGTCTTTCCCTCCTGCGCGGTCCCGCTACCCTCCCAAGCATGATGTCCCTCTCCAAGGACCTGTCCCTCCATGTCCAAAGTATGTCAGATGAAGCCCCAGAATCCTTGCCTCCAAGGAGCAGCCTGGTTTAACCCTCTCCATGATCAATCTGTTTGTTTTCTTGGCAGTCCATGGTACATTCAATACTCTTCTCTGGCACCACAGCTCAAAGGCATCAATTCTCCTTCTATCCTCCCTAGTCATTGTCCAACTCTCTGATGCATAACTAATGATTGCAAAGACCATGGCCTGTATC